AGGGTGAGCCAGTGACCTGGCTCGGGAACTAAGTATTTGTCATGACAAAAGACTGGCCAGGCTCCCCAGGGTATCCAATCAAGTGACCATTAACAGGTAACCTGCCAGACAGGAGATAAACAAGGCACTCAGATTTCTGTTGTAAACCGCCCTTTCTGTGATGTATCTGGGGGGTGGTCTTGAGCTACACCCCTTCTGTCATGTAGGTATGATGTTTCTGGGAGTGGTCTTGGACTCCAGGGTGCGCAATTTAAAATGTCTATATAAGGGCGAGCACACCTTTTTTCGGGGTCCTCCTCCTTCTCCTGCGTGTGAGGGGAGCACCCTGTTGCAACAGTTCAATAAAGATCAGGCTTAAGAGCTGCTTTGCTTCTCAATATTCTCTGGTTGGCCTCTGTTATTTTCTCTGACTGATGGAGAACCTACAAAGGACTCTATAAGGGCTCTTGTGTTCCCCATAAGGGAATAAGGGCAGATTTTTGTTTATTACACTAGCTAGCAGGGCCAGTGGTCAGGGATGATGGGAATTGTAGTCTCAAAACATCTGGAGGGCCGAGGTTGAGGAAGCCTGGTCTAGGAGAAGCCTTTGTTGTGCCAAAAGTTTTTAAGAGCAGTTGGAAATGACAAGATTTTTTTAAAAGAAACATAGGCATGTGTTCCAAATATACAGGGATGGTTCTTACTTTTTATAACCTCAATAATTTTTGGTTTTTGCATGCCGTGTTGTTTCCTACAAGGCCTTGTAGAGTTGTCGTTCTTTTACATTCAAGTTCCATCTTCCTTTTTTCTTTTTTCTTTTTTTAGGATTTTCAGGTTTATACATTTTAATAATTCTACAGTCATTTTAGCATTTCAAAACTTGACTTCCTTCCCTCTCTTTCTGCGGTTCCTTAAATTTATTTTTAATATTTTCTGCATATTTGTTCTTGAGCTTAATTTGTTCGTTTATTCCTCTACTTTAAATCCATGCTCTTATGAAACTGCAGCTTGTTACAATAATCCTGCCAATGTTCTTGTCTGTTTACAATTTGTTTGTGAATCTTCAATCAACCATTTCCATTCTTCTATAAAAAGTCTGTTATCTTGATTTCTTATTTTTCCGGTAAGTTTTGCCATTTCTGCAGATCAAGTTCCATCTTCCATCCAGGCCACCAGATGGAAATGTACAGGTTTGTGCATGCGTGGAATGCATATTGTTTTTAGTTTTTAGTTTATTTTTATTTATTAAATTTGCATACCGCCCTTCATCTCAGGGCGGTTCACAGCATAAAAATACAAGATAAAAACACAAAATAAAAACAAGAACAAGAACGAAAACAAACCAATACCCCAATACCCCTACCCCTAAGCAAACTCATAAACAGTAAGGGTGTCTCCAAGCTGTCACTATTTTGCAGGAGGAATTCAAGTGTCTTCTTCTTTCTTTGGCGATCACTCGTAGCCAAAGATTTATGGAAGATTGTCTTCCATAAACACGGTTTTAACAATGAGTCCGTAAGTGACTATGGAGGCCAATTCTGGATCCACACGTCCTTCCACAGTGGAGACATTGGTTTCCGGGTGGGAGTTGATCACAGTGAGGGTTTGCCAAGCGTGCCTTCCTTTTAGCACATTTCTCCCTTGAGTCCTGAGTTCAAGTGTCTTCAAAGCCCATGACACCTTTGGTAAAGGCTGTTCTCCAATTGGAGCGCTCGCAGGCCAGTGTTTCCCAATTGTTGGTGTTTATACTACATTTTTAAAGATTTGGATTGAGACAGTCTTTAAACCTTCAAACTTCAAGTCTATGCTGCTTGGTGTAAGGAAAGCAGATGAAAGTGCTTCGTCACCTTAGCACAACAAACCAACTCCGTCATTCTTCTTTTTAAGCAGACCTTTTGCAGTTAGGAAAGATGTAGGAAATGCACAAAAAGTGCAGGATGAATGGCTGAGTCAATGGGAAGACATATAAACACACATCCCACAAGCAAATCAGGGCAGATGCTCAACATATAACCTCCCCATGAACATTCAGTAGGAGTCTAACCTGTTAGAATTCCTGCTCCATGATTGCAGTCATGGGATTGTTGTTTATCACATGACGGTGTGTGTTTTGACTCCACAGAGTGGGAAGTGACGGAGACAGGATGTTTGTGTTACTGTGTTCCATGAAGTGGGACTATTATCCTTTGTTCTTTCTCTTAGCTGTCGGATGTTAGAGAGAGAGGGAGCCATGTTGCAGTGCTCCGTGTGTGTTTATATGTAAATAAAGTAGATTAGCCAAAATGATGAGTTGCTGAGGTCTGTCACGCAAGGTGCGCAAACTCTGCGGATCCCTAAGTGTGCCAGTGTCGGTTGGCACCTGTCGCTGTGATGTTTGGGCTGAAGAAAGCTTTTGAAGCTCCCGAATGATCTACCAGGAGGGAGGGAACATCCCAGTCGGGCATGTGTCTCTGCCAGGGTCCTACTCAAGTGTAGGCTGAACTCAATTGACTCAGGATGAAAGTGGAATAAGCATGTCATCTGGAGGGGCCCTAAGGAACCTGCCTTTAAGAAAAAACAACCACAGCTACTGAGCAGGAAGCAACTGCAGTTGTGAGGGACTGTCAGCAAAGTGCCCCTTTATTCTGTCACCTCCCCCCAGTGGCAACTCCAGGCAGCTAAAAGCCACCATTTTAAATTTCCCACAGTGCTCTGTCATCACTCGGGGCATTGTGACATTGGGAAACGTCAATGACAGGCTCCATTAAGGGGCAGGGCCTTACCTTTCTGAGCCCTCAGATTAAATTCTATTTCCTGCCCTCACCCCCCAGGTTTCCCACAATTTTGGTGATGACAGTGGAATCAAAGAAAATCCCCATCCACTCTATGGAGAACCTTGAAGGGCTTGTCATCTCTATTGCTAACATAACTTCTTAGAACAGTTATGTCATATTTGTTTGCTTATTCGTGGCGTTTACATCCCATCCTTCAACAATCACATGCATGACAAATTTGTGCTATCAGTAGAGATGGCTGAGTGTTGTGAAGATCTCCTCAGATTTGCTCAGGATTTTTCCAGGGCATGGGTCGGGGGGGGGAGGGGGAGTAACTCAGGAAAAATCTGGTCCAGTTGGAAGGCTCAGAAAGGTGTTGCTCTGTACCCCTACTGGGCACAAGCCTTTACCAAAGGTGTCATGGGCTTTGAAGACACTCGAACTCAGGACGCAAGGGAGAAACGTGCTAAGAGGAAGGCACGCTTGGCAAACCCTCACCACGATCAGCTCCCACCCGGAAACCTATGTCCCCACTGTGGAAGGATGTGTGGATCCAGAATTGGCCTCCACAGTCACTTACAGACTCACTGTTAAAACAATGTTCATGGAAGACAATCTTACTCGGTTACGAGTGATCGCTAAAGAAGAAGAATGTTGGATCCTTAGTAGGAATTGTCAGTATTGTCTATTGGGTTGGGCCATCCAAGGATAGTCTAGCAATATAATTACTGAAGCTATAACTCAGATTCGGCCTGTGTTACGTTTGCTCAGTAGCAGAGGAGTCTACAGAAGGGTAAATTCTGCTCTGTTGATGAAGGTCCTCAGATTATAAAGGGGAGGACGAGTTCTACTGGATTGAAGGGGGAAAGGAATAGAGAATGGGTCGTGGGTTTTGTAGCTGCCTCTGCTGCTGTTGTCAATTCCTGCTTGTTGCTTTATATTCATTCTCTCTGCGGTGCAACGGCCTCTTTTGTGGAGCTAGAATAAGGAAGAAAAGAGGTAACTATTGGCAGACTGGTTTTCCAAGTGCGCAGCCTGACATAACCAAAACAACAACACTTGACACATGCGCAGGAAGGAAGTATCAAATTGAGGTGCATGAGAACTTCCCATTTGGCCCATGGGGCCATTTTGGCCAAGCCGCACCCACCTGCCCCACACAGCTGATATCCAGGGGGGTGGAAATGGATGTTCCAGCGCACCAGAGATCCCACAGATCTGTTGCTGCCACCTACAACTCCCCACCGAGGCCTACAGAGCTGTTCTCTCTCCCTCAGAGCTGCCCTGCCACCACCTGGCTTAGTTGCCTGGCCTGGCCTGAGTTAGTAGGAATAACCTCTTTTTGCCCAGTTGGTTGTGAAGCAGCACCACTCACCAGTGCCGTCCCACCCATGAGACAAGGTGAGGGGACTGCCTCAGGCAGCAAGATCCACAGGGGCAGAAGATCCCAATGTAGATATTCATTGCCCTCTTGTTCCTAATGAAGGTCTTCAGTCAACCCTTCTTTCCTGACCAGGAGGGGCATGCAGTTTTGCGATTTGCCTCAGATGCTAAAATGTCGGAGGCTGGTTCTGCCCCTCAGGACTGAATTCTGCAGGGTAGTCCTTCTCAAGCAGATCCTGACAGCGCATGCGCATGCTAAGCATGCTTAGTAAGATTGAACGCACTGCTCTCGGTCATGGAAGGGGCGCATTTCCTTTTTTAAAAACCCTAATTAAGCATTAGCCTTCCCCTGAATGGATTCAGGACTGAGACTGGGTAGGCTAGCTAGTGTTAGAATTCCTCCTCTATGATTGCAGTCATGGGATTGTTGTCTATCACATGATGGTGTATGTTTTGACTCCACAGAGTGGGAAGTGACGGAGACAGGATATTTGTGTTACTGTGGGACAATTGTCCTTTGTTCTTTTTCTCTTTGCTGTCTGATGCTAGAAAGAGAGGGAGCCATGTTGCAGTGCTCCGTGTGTGATTATATGTAAATAAAGTAGATTAGCCAAAATGCTGAGATCTGTTACACAAGCTGCGCAAACTCTGTGGATCTCTAAGTGTGCCAGTGTCTATTGGCATCGGTGGCTGTGATGTTCGGGCAGAAGAAAGCTTTTGAAGCTCCCGAACGATCGACCAGGAGGGAGGGAACATGCCAGTCGGGCATGTGTCTCTGCCAAGGTCCTACTCGAGTGTAGGCTGAACTCCTGACAGCTAGAACACTCAGGTCACCTTGATCTGTGGCATCAGACTGGGGGCCTTGAATTGGGTCTGTGGGGTGGATCACACTTTCCCGGCCATGGCAATCTTCTGGCCCTTTCCCCTTCTGACTCTCTCTATGGTCCAGAAAATGCCAGCTTCTACGGGGGGGGGGGGAGGTCTGAGGGTTACTCACATCTCTTCCCATAATAAAGACGTGTCACCAAAGCAGTGGTTGTAATTCCAAAGGTACAGAGGGAAGCACGCAGGAGAAGCCATATGAGGACCATGGTATCCTGTTGTGGTGCAGAATTAGATCCTGGAAGATTCCAAACACGGGAGAATGGATTAAGACAGGGGAACACAAAGACATATAATCGAGACCATATAACACTGGTCCTGAAAGACCTACATTGACTCCCAGTACGTTTCTGAGCACAATTCAAAGTGTTGGTGCTGACCTTGAAAGCCCTAAACGGCCTCGGCCCAGTATACCTGAAGGAGCGTCTCCACCCCCATTGTTCAGCACGGACGCTGTGGTCTAACTCTGAAGGCCTTCTGGTGGTTCCCTCATTGCGAGAATTGAGGTTACAGGGAACCAGGCAGAGGGCCTTCTCGGTAGTGGCACTCATCCTGTGGAAGGCCCGCCCATCAGATGTCAAGGAAATAAACAACTATCTGACTTTTAGAAGACACCTGAAGGCAGCTCTGTTTAGTGAAGTTTTTAATATTTGACGTTTTGTTGTGTTTTAAATATTCTGTTGAGAGCCATCCAGAGTGGCTGGGGAAACCCAGCCAGATGGGTGGGGTATAAATACTATTATTATTATTATTATTATTATTATTATTATTATTATTATTCACTCGCTGCTGGTTCTCAGAACTTACAGACTACCAAAAGCTAGTCAGGTCATCTTGATCTGGGACACCAGATTGGGAGCCTGAATTGGACAATACAATCCACCCATACAAAAGTCAGGCCTCTTAGATTTCCCATGAGCTTACCTTTCAGGTCTTCTCTAAGTACGTGAAGCTCAGTCCCGTTCCCCGAAGTCTCCTGGAATCCAGGGATCTTCACCACGCATCGATACACCCCTGAGTCGTAATGTCTCAGATCCCGTATCTCTATGTCGGCTCTTCTATCCAAGAGGAAGGCCTGCTCCGAGGTGGGACTCACCCTTCCCATGAATTCCCGGGTGGTCTTTCTGACCTCCACCCCTGGCTCCTTCACCCACCGGAAGCTCCCAACCTTAGGTTCTGAGGTGGAGTTGTAGGAACAGTGCAAGGTGACGGAACCGCCTTCCGTGCCTTCTGCTGAGCTGGGCTGGGAGACCATGAGGAGTTCTTGAGCCTGGGAAGCTAGAAGAACAAAGATGGAAGAGTCAGGAGGTAAGGCAGGTGTCCCACCCCACACAGCTCCGATGGCTGGACGGCAATTCTCATCGTCCCCAATCGTATGCCATGCTGGTCTTGGCTTATGGTCTCTCTGTGCAATGGTCTTTGTGCTTCTCCTCAGTTGTCTCCCTTCTGCCAAATTTTAGGTCATAACAGTCTTGTATTTAATCACTCACCTGGGCACTAAAGGGACACAGAAATCTCCCTTTTACCGAGGCTCGGTATCTGGCTCAGCAGTATTTACAGCTGTTATGTACTGAGTTGAACAGGAACCAAAATGCAGCAGTCTGATTGGTCCTAGAACACTAGGATTCAGAATGCAGCAGTCTGATTGGTCCTAGAACAATGCAGCAGTATGATTGGTCCGCAGGAGCCACCCAATCCGGCTCCAGATGGAAGTGAATCCACAACCTGATTGGCCTACAGGAGAATCCCGGAATTAGCCAATCATGTGCAGCCCATTGTGTAAATAATGTATATAAAGCAGATACTTTGGGGGAACCTTCATTCCTCCTCACCACTATGAGCTGAATAAAGAGCATGAAATCCACTCTCGACTCCGAGTATATTTCAGCAGCTGTCCAGGCTTTCAGACTGGGGTCTCTACCAAACCTCTCTGAAGTTGCTGAGCATTGAACCCGGGCCAATCTGCCTGCAAAGCATGCATGCACACACAACAACAACAACAACAACAACAACAACAACCATACACAATCCTAAGAGGCTGTTGGCTTTTCTTCCCTATTCTGGCTTCAGAGGAAGGCTTATCTTCTTATGGAGGTAGAAAATGAGTCTCTTAGCAGGGTGGTAAATATTTCTGCATGCTAGAAAGGTTTGTGGGCTTGTTTACAAAGCTGGATTGCTGGGCACTCAGGTTTTGTTCAGCCTTTCTGAGATTATTTACACAATGCGCTTTCAACAGGTTGAATGTGGCATACAAACATTGAGAATTATTATTATGGAGATTTAAAAAAAAAAAAAATCCAAGTAGGAATCTGGATTGAAATTTGAACTGTTGCTTTTCTGCATGCAATTCTTTCAACCTTTTTTTTTTTTTTTTTTTTGCATTTCGTAATGGCGTTCGTTTTTATATATGCAATCGTTTTATATATGTTTTAATTGTATTGTGAAATCACTTAAAGATGCCTCATTGGAAGCAACTCATAAATATAAAACAATTGCAGTCATACCTTTGTTTTCAAACAGCTTAGTTCTCAAACGTTTTGGCTTCCGAAGGCCGCAAACCTGGAAGTGAGTGCTTGCTCCGGTTTGCGAACTATTTTTAGAAGGTGAGCGTCCAATGGGGCTTATGGGGCTTCTGCAGCCAATCAGAAGCCACACTTTGGTTTCTGAACATTTTGGAAGTCGAACGGACTTCCGGAACGGATTCTGTTCGACTTCTGAGGTACGACTGTATAATGATAATAACTCCTCTTGCACAATGGGACTCCCCACCTCCCAGCGCATGCACCTCATGCCCTGCTAGAATCTTCAGAGTGATGGACAGACCAGAACAGAACCCCTGGAACAGACTGAGGGATGCGCAAGCAGAAATCCTTTCGCTGTTGCGCAAGCAGAAATCCTTCCGCTGATGGAATGTCCTATTATTAGGAATCTGCGCACTTTTACTGTTTCGTGCAGGATCACACATCCTGACGGGGTCTGTGTGGGATTCATTTTTTTGTGAAGGGGGATATTAGCAAGGCCACACACACACACACACACACACCCTACACACATCCCCTTCCGTTCCATGTAGCTGTTGCCGAATTTGGGTTTGTGGAAGTAGTTTGCAATCATGACATGAGGATGGCGCATGTGGGCAGGCTGTTGGACAACGTTATGTGAGGGGAAGTAGTCGACCAACTTCCTGTTTGACGGTAAAAAGGCAAACGTGTGTAAAGAAAGCAACCATGTGCAATCTATCCCTGCTTTTCTTTCCCTCTCTGTGGGTCTGTCTTTGGCTCATTTGGATCATTTTAGCCTAGAAAGGGGGTGCAGGAAATTTGGAAGGCCGAGAGCAGAACTGTATCCCATGCAGCAGCTTCTCTCAATAAAAGGAAGCCTTGGAAATGTATTGTGTGGGTATCCATTGACATGATAACCAGCTCTGTATATTTAACAACTGAGTTTATCTCAGTGAAGACCTTACTTGGAAAATAAATAGAACCCAGGCGGTTAAGAAAGCCCAACAGAGACTCCATCTCCTCAGAGTATTGCGGAAGAACGATGTCAATCAACATTTGATTATCTCCTTCTACCGGTCAACAATAGAAAGTGTCCTTTCATACTGCATCACAGTGTGGTACACTGGTTTGACATCATCTGATAGGAAGTGCCTACAGAGGGTGGTGAATACAGCACAAGATATTATGGGCTGTCCCGTGAATCCGCTGGATGAAATAGCGGAAGAACGTTGCCTCAGGAGAGTGAGGAAAATTCTCAGGGATGATTCACACCCTGGCCAGCACTTTCTTGATCTCCTGCCCTCAGGCAGAAGATAAAGAAGTATGATTAGTCGCACCAACAGGGTAAAGAACAGCTTCTATCCATGGGCTGTTAGGTTGCTGAATGAAAAGATAACAGGGCAACTGACTTTCGGATTTGGTGGGTGTGCGTCAGTAAATGAGGGGAATTAAGACTAAGAGAGATGAGTGGGGGGTGCTCGTGTAATCTCACTGTAAACCACAGAGCCTAGGACTTGCTGATCAGAAGGTCAGTGGTTCGAATCCCCGCGACGGGGTGAGCTCCCTTTGCTCAGTCCCTGCTTCTGCCAACCTAGCAGTTCAAAAGCACGTCAAAGTGCAAGTAGATAAATAGGTACCACTCCAGCGGGAAGGTAAAAACAGTGTTTCCGTGCGCTGCTCTGGTTCGCCAGAAGCGGCTTAGTCATGCTGGCCACATGACCCGGAAGCTGTATGCCGGCTCCCTCGGCCAATAAAGTGAGATGAGCACCGCAACCCCAGAGTCGGCCACGACTGGACCTAATGGACAGGGGTCCCTTTACCTTTACCTTTACAAGTTGTACAAGTGACAATAAAGTTTTTCAAATATGAAGATGTTTGACTGGGGGTGATACCAGCTCCTAGCTACCACCAACCTGTTTTCAGTGTGGTGGAAGAGGAGGGATCAGGCCAGTGGTCCTTCAGTCCGCCATTTTGTTCTCATAACAGCCACCGAAATCCCTGTGGGAAGCCTGAAAGCAAGACCTGAGCACAAGAGCGCACTGCTCCCTTGAGTTTCCCAGCAAATGTCACTCAGAGGCATACTTCCTCGCATCAGAGCCTCGCTAGTCACCACAAATGACTAGTCTATTGGGTCACACAGCAGCTTTCATCTTAGACACCTTCCTGTTCTCCCCTCCCTCACGGTTATCTGTGGCTTAAATCCCTCACCGTAATTTAAGCCACATATTTCAAATGGCCACACATCACGGGCTCACTTTTATTTTTGTTCTGAAGCTATCCCTTGCTTCGCAGTTTTACAAGCTTGACCGTGTGCTGTCGTGGACTTCTCTGTTCTGTATGTAATGGAAGTTCCCCTGCAGCACTAAAAATATATATATGAGTTTGAGGAACTGTTAGTAACACAGGATGCTGCCACAAGAGCCGCTTTTACTCTGACCTCATTTGTTTATTCATTTGGTAGAATCCAGATAGGGACTTCCTATTTAACAACTACTACTACTATTATTATTATTATTATTATTATTATTATTATTATATCCCACCAATTGCCCCAGCCATTCTGGGAGGCTTCCAACATATATAAAAACACAATAAAATATTAAACATTAAAAAAAAAAAACTTTCCCATACAAGGCTGCCTTCAGGTGTCTTCTAAAGGTTGTATAGGTATTGTTACAAAAGTCGGGTGCCTCTCTCTGCAAGAGCCCATGGGATTCTAAATCTCCTTTAAAAAAACAGATTTTGATTTTAAAATGCAGCGTTATTTGTTTTTATTAGGAATTATAGGTACCAAGATTCCATAGGATCAGAAAATACTTTTTATGTATGCGACAACAGATGCACGGATGTTATTAGCCCAGTGATGGAAAGAAGAAACCGTCCCGACCAGGGAAGAATGGCAAACCAAGTTGATGGACCAGGCAGAAATGGCAAAATTAAGTGGAAAGTTCAGGAACCAAGAGGACAAGAACTTTAAAAAAGAATGGGAAAATTTATAATTTATTTAGGAGACCATTGCGAGCAGATGAAAACAATAGCAGGATTTTAATCTCACTTGTAAGGTAACAAAGACTATGGATAACTCAGATGGATTTTTTTTTTAATGTGGATAACGGATTGATAAGCAGTGTAAATGTTGACATTTGGACCCATGGAGGGGGGGAATTTTTGAGATTCACAGCAATCTCTTTATATGGATTTGTAATTGATTTTGTTATTAATTTATATTTTTAAAAATCAAATAAAATCTATTTTCAAAAGGGGGGGATGCAACGTGATTCGGAACCACTTTTCAATGGTAGTTCTGCAAATACAGAACTCCAACTCCATCTTGCCATTTCATTCTGATCTTTAAAGTTTCATATACACCATTCATTCAAAACACACCATTTCCACCACCAAAGAATACCGCACACAGAGCTATAATTCCCAGCATCCTTTGTTTCCTTAACATAATTTTACTAATCTAGATTTCCAAGATAGCCTACAAGAAAGAAAACCATGAAACAAATATAAAAGGTAAAGGGACGCCTGACCATTAGGTCCAGTCATGACCGACTCTGGGGTTGCGGTGCTCATCTCGCTTTATTGGCCGAGGGAGCCGGCGTACAGCGGGTCACATGGCCAGCATGACTAAGCCGATTGTGGCGAACCAGAGCAGCGCACGGAAACACCGTTTACCTTCCTGCCGGAGCGGTACCTATTTATCTACTTGCACTTTGACATGCCTTCGAACTGCTAGGTTGGCAGGAGC